TGAAATTAATCGATGATTTTGAATAAATTACAAATAAAAAATCTATTTAGTTTTTCTTATTTTTTTACTTTTTAATAAGTATGAATAAGACATTGCTACTTTTAAAATATTAAAGCAAATGTAAATTGATTTGTAAGTTTTACTATTAAGAAAAAAAAGTAACTGAAAAATTTTACTGTAAATTAAGATTTATAAGAGAAATCGAGTAAAAGTAGACTAAATTTCGGGGATTTTTTTATGACTTTTTGATTTTTAATTGAATTAAAATCGGTTGCGCCTGAGGCGCAGCCGAGTTGTTCGATTATTTATTCAGAGACTAAATTTGTGAAAAACTGTTTTATTAGAAAATAAATGACAAACAGCATTATAATTTTCAGCAAGGTTATGAAACATAAAACAAAATAGTGGTTTATTTTTGTGCTTTTTTCTATTACAAAATGAAGTGTTAAAATCGCAGAGTTAATGAAATCATAACTGAAAACAAAACTGAAATTTGTTTTGCGAAAAAATTATAATTAATCATCTTTAATTCTTTATAAATTGATTTATAAGATTGAAAAAAAAATCACTTTTAAATTATTAATAATTACACATTATTAATCAGCTGCAGAAGCTTGAAAGTAATTTTGAGAGAATAATTGGTAAATTAAATCAAATTCTATAAATTTAAAGCTGCAATAATATCGTAATTGTTAAAATTAAAACAAATTAAAAGTAAACCAAAAAATGAAACCCAAGCGACATTCATACTACTTAATTATTTGATTGAATAAAATTATTTCAAATCAAATTTCAAATATGGAGATATTGTGAGAAACCGAGTGAAGGTTATGAAAGATAAAACAAAAAGTGGTTTATTTTTGTGCTTTTTTCGATTACGAAATTAAGATTTGGGGATTTCCCAGTGATAAAAACGCCGATAAGTGAATCTCGAACTGAAATAAATCATCGATAGTGAGAATAATATCGGCTCCCATCTGTCCCCAACGCTCGAATTTTCTCTCTCGATCGGAAAAGTGGCCACGTGTCCGTCCCGTCGTATTTTTTTCGTCCCGTGTTGATCGGAAAGTATTTATTAGCCGTATTGCGAGACAAGCAGCGACTTTAATTACATACGCATTCTTGAAAAAAAAATCCCCAACATATGTCGGCAACATATGCTCAACATTTTAGTACGCATTGTCTTCGATCGGAAGGGTTATAATTTAAGTAATACGACAATTATCCTTTCGGGCGCCAAAAAGGCCCCACTGGCGCCCTCTACACATCGACGTCGCGAGGTTTTTAACGACGCGTCGCGACGGTTCGCTTCTTAACTAAACCATTTGAAAAATTAGGGTTTCTGGCTGTTGTGTTTGTCCTTTTCTGGTTCTCTGTTCGAATTGTACTAATGTATACTAAACAGTTGCTTTCCCAACTAACGCTGCCGGACTTTAACCAACTGCAGAGGAATTCGACTTCTTCGGCCATCTCTGAAAGGACGCTTGAAGAATGTTGGACCACACTGCAGCGAGTGAGTTGGATTCTATTCAACCGTGTAGAGTATTCTTCCAGTAACGAAAAAAATTGCGAGAATTTTTTTTTCTCACTAGATATGGTCATTTTTCAGTTTGATTTTTTTCCTATCATGTCATGAAACAACACACGAAACGGTTAATTGTTTCGCAGCCGTTTCGATTTTTTTATCGTGTTGGCAAGCTTTCGGTTGCGATTATGCAAAACAAACAATTCAATTTGTTCAAATATTTGATTGTTGCGACACTCGATTGGGTTTTTGCGAAGTTTATCTTGACCTCGGGATGACCCCTAGAAAACGGGCGAAAAAAAAGAGTAAAAAAAATAAAACACCAAACAAAAATTGGGGTTAAGACAAGTGAGGATCAATACAATTATAATTAACTTAAATATTGAACACAATTCAATATAAAATTTAAATTTTGTATATAAAAAACAATAATTACAAGTTGAAGCTTTGATGTGTTTTTTTGTAACAATTAATTTAAACG